ATGACTTTCTCTGTTGCTTACCTCAGTCTGGCTGTAATAATCAAGGATAGAAGGAAAGAGCGGCAAGATGAGAGCAAATCCCAACAAGTCAATGAAGAGTGCCAGGAAGACAATTGTAATAACACGACTAGAGTTCTGTTCATGCTTGTCATTGAGGAGGCTGCTGCTGGTTCCTCTCTCTCGCAGGGCCATATTCCCAGGTGCTCTGCTTGTGAAAAATTACATTTATAGCCAATCAACAGGAAGCATCTTGCAGGCCTTTCATAAGAGTATCTTGCTGATTCATTCTCGCTTTCTACAGACTTTGAAAAATAAATATAAGCTATGGCTATATTAAGCTACCTGGTTTTCAAAGGAACAGGAACCTCACCTCCCTCACCTTGGTTATTAGCTCAGCACCAAGTTTGCTTGCATCAAGAACAAGCTATGAGGGCGATAAGGTAACAAACTCTGTTATAGGAACATCCCAAATAAAACGCAGAACTAAGGAGCATTTAAAGTTTGTTAACATGTGAGCAATGCTAGTACAACTTTCCCAAATGTTTTCAACTCAGCATTACAGTAAAATAGATAAGAAAGGGCACTTTTGTTTTGAATATCTACATTCAGGTAACTACGAGATTATTTATGCCTTCAGTGTATGATAGAAATTACTAAAACAATAACAATTAAAAAAAAAAAGTAGACTTCCTAACTATTGTAGGAATGCTGTATTCAAGATAGATCCTGAAAAGCAAGTCAAGAAACAACACAAAAAAAATTTTGAAATGTGAAACGTTTTTTTCTTTCCCTGGATGACAGCCACTGATAGGCTATATGAGTTGGGGCAGCAAAAGATTAAGGCAACATTTTAGTTTGTCAGAAACATCAGAACTATCAATTTTCTTTGATAATACTCCAAAACTGTCTTAAAGACCTAAACAGGGATGCAGGCCATATCATGTTGAGTATTTAACAAAGTCAGTCTGTACCCTGAAAAAACCCCTCATTTTCAACACATGCCAAAACCAAGGAGTAATACACAAACTATGAAACTGCAACTTCAGACTTGTAAAACACTACAGTGTATTTCAGCCATAAAACAATCAAATTTGCAATTCCTTCTACTGCAAAAATCCCTGAACGTTTGTTGTACTAAACAAGTACAAGAGAAGACAGAATCTCATCCAACAAAGTAAATCAATACCAAAATATCCATTGACTTTGATGACTCAGGATTGAAAACACTGAGCAACTATTAATATAAATTCTATTCCAGACAAGACATACTGTATTATGTACACAGGGCACTTGTGCATATAACATCATATTATGCTAATTGAAGATCATAACACTCTGTTATGCTCAGCAATAAATATTATTGTGACATTTCTTTACCTGTGGATTCAGTTTATTAGCACTGAAGCATTATTAAAGTTCAAATGCCATGAGGTAAACATGGAAGGAGGCCACTTGCAATCCTTTTATTAAACTCTTGGCATAATGCTCTTATATGTGCTAGTGAACAGAGCAGTTTGCTTACTTTCAGGATCCTTTTACTTAAAATGGTAAATCATCACCACTACAAATATTTAGTATTATTTGTTTACCCAAATGATGTAAGAGCATCTGGAGCCAAAAAACCCATTCATTTAGACAAATCCTCCCTGGCCCTAGGTCTATCCAGCCAACAGTTGAGGGATGGGTTCATTGTGGCAGATTCTATCATGTTTTTCCTCACAGTTTGTTTATTCATCCACTGAATTGTACGACCAAGTTGAACTTTATTCCAGGATTATTTATACAGGGTGACATCCTTTACACCTTACCTTCACAGCCATTTCAGCTAGTGTGTGGCTTGAACCTATTGATGCTAGCACTGACCTTTTATTCAGCTCCAGTTTTGGCTACGTGGTCGCAATTTCCCTTACGCAACATCCCAAGGTACTAGATGTTTCTGCTCCATCAGTTTTGTTGTTCAGACCTCTCCATATTTTTTGCCGGACAGGAAACGACCAAACATTTTATAGGCCCTGGCATCCCGTCAGCAAAAACAAAACACTTTACCTCTACCATGACATTTGATTTCTGTGAGCCATGTTGAAGAGGGGGGAGGATTTTCAGTTTAGGGAAGTTTTTTCTCTGGACACTTGCGTGCCCAACGCTTGCTCGGCTCTGCCTGGGCTCTCCCCAGCCACCCCCTCAGGATTCCGGGTCTCTGTCTCATCGCTTCTGCCTTCGACCTCCGGATGGCAGGGCCGGGGTTTGATGCTGTGCCTCTCAGGAAGGGATCAGCAGCAAAGCTGGCCCTGCCCTAATGCATAAACAGAGACTTGTCATCTACCCGCAGGAAGAATTTCATCCTTCTGTTGTTTTCTTACTACTCCTCCCCCCCTCTAAAATTTCTTAGGCCCGGCTTTACCTGTTATGCTTTGAGAAGGCTCCTCTGACTCCTCAACAAAGTCCTGATACAGGTCAAGAGCATGAGTTTCAAATGGGGGATGAAAAAAAAAAAGAGAGACATTTCGCAGAGCAACCAAAGCCCAGAGGACAGAATGGTCACCGAGCGGGAAAGGGACGGCCCTGGAGAGATGAGGT